GGAAAAAGCCGGACTTCAAGAAGAATAAAAGCTAACCTCCCCCACCCCCCCAAAGCTCGGCTTCCCCTCCCTCCCAGCCACGCCGCCCACGCCCGCCGAGCTGGACGCCGACGCGAAGATGGCGGCAGAACTGCACACGCTGCTGCTGGAGACGCAGATTAGCGAGGGGGGATTGGTGTGTGCGAATTGTGGGCACGAGTATAAGATTAAAGAAGGGATTGCGAATTTCCTGCTACCGAGTCATTTGGTTTGATAGGGGAGGTCGGGTTGATGGAAGGGTTGGTTGGTTCTGGTGCTGGGTTAAGGCTTGATGGTGATGGTGATGCTGGTGATGAGAGTGAGAGTGCGTTCAAAAGGGGTAGGTAAGAGAGTGGTGCGAGGAACCTTTTGCAGAGAGAGAGAGCGCAGAACGTGGCAGAAGGGGGGAAAGGGGGAAGGGAGGAAGGAATGAAGGAAGGAAGGATCACTGCTTGGGACATGCACATCCTCTGCTTGAACGGCAGCGAAGCAGGCAAGGAAGGACTTCAGGATCCATCCATTCGAAACATGAATACCTACCTCTGACCGAACATCCATCTCAAGGAATCTCCAACCAAGGAGAGAGCGGGGAAAGAAAGAAGGAAGGAAGGAAAGAAAGAAAGAAAGAAAGAAAGAGAGAAAAGCTTGTGCATCGCATTGCATCGCATCGCATTGCAAGCTTACCTCCCCAACGACGACCAAAGAATAGCTCCGCTACTTACCTACACGCACCAGAAGAAGTCTAGCATAGCGGTCATAGAAAGCAAGACATAGGTAATCACCATCATCGTCATCACCATCACTAGGTATTCCCATTCCTATTTCCACACCTATATAATACGATACCGATATCCAAACCCATCTATCTATTCTACTCTACTCACTCACTTGTATAAACAACCAAACCAAACCAAAAACTCCAGACCCAAACTCCAAACTCCAGACCCAAACCCAGCTTGAATTCCGTACAGCATATACTGGTGAATTACACTATACTACCTTATACTACACTACCTTACCTTACCTTACACTACACTACACCAAAACAAAACAAAACCGCAATCCCCTCATTTCCCATTCCCCATCTCCCCTCCTCTCCCCCCTCTCCTCCCCCCTAAAAGATCCTCATTCCCAGCCAACATCGCAGATAGAAAAGATGAGATGGAAAGTGAGCAAGTGGGTAAGTCCGTCCCTTATTGCCTACCTCTGTCCTCGCGAAAAAGTTTTTTTTTTTGCATAAATCTGATTTAGGCATATGCTGACTTACTTACTCACATGCCGACTTTACTTACCCACATACATACCCACTTACCCACTCACTTTATTTAAAGTCAAAAGATAGTTAAAAGAAAAAAAAAAAAAGGGAAAAGAAAAAGAAGAAAAAAACCCCCCATAACACACACACAAAAAAAGAATTCGATTACATTACCCCTCCTGGCCTTCTTTCCATTCATCTATCTATCTATCTATCCATCCCCATTCATCATTATATCAACACCTACACCCACACCCACACCCCCCCTCACTTACCCAACGCCAGCCTAGAGCCTCGGTTGAGGAGGTTTGTGAAGAGAAAAAAAGAGGGAAAAAGAAAAAAAAAAAAAGTAAATTTCTGCTGCCGCTTCCGTGCTATATCGTTGCCCATTTCGTTCCTGTACAGCCCCCAGCCCAGCTCCAGCTCCAGCTCCGCCCCATGCGTGCATTGGGTACGTATTCAAGAAGGAAAGAAAGAAAAAGGTGGTGGCACAAGCCCAAGCACGCCTCAGCTCAGCTCCGTGGTTGAAAGGATGCAAGCGGACGACAAGGGGGGAATCAGAACCAAAATCAGCATCTGATTTCTTTTTCAAGTTTCGCTGCCTCAGTTGAGGAATCCTTTACACGCTGCCGTGCCGCAGAGGCAGGGGATACGGTCCGTACTGCCAATCTCACGCTCGAACTTGTAGTCGTAGGTAAGTTCCTCGTCTGTTTATACGTTAGTCATAGTCTAGACTCACACTTTCGAGTCGATTGGAAGGGAAATGAGACAGTGACGGGCAAGGGAGCCAGGAGAGAGAAAACTTACTCTGAGCGATATCCCGCAGCGCATAGATAACGATCCGCTTGCCCTTCTCCACCGTTATGATCTTCGCCGTGCAGTTAGGCATACAGCTGTGATTAATGAATCGTGCAATCCCACCCTTCTTCGTCGCATCAATGACAGTGCTCTCATCGATTCGGAACAGGTAACTGCTGCCGATACCGCTCTTGAGGTAGCGGTGCTCGCGGAGATCAGCGACGGTTTGGCGCACCTTCTCACCCACGTACTCGATGATCATGTCGTTCTGGTTGATGTTCTCCATGGCGAACAGACCCCACTTGTGGATGGCGGAGCGTTCAAAGTTGACAAGCTTCTGCCGCTTTTGCAGCTGGTTGAAGCGGAGGACATCGACGTCGCCGCCGAGGTTCTTCTTCTGCTCATTGACGTCGGTAGCGTAGCGACGTTGCGTGACACGGTTGGCTCGAGAGTTGCCTCGGGCTACCGACTTCTCGGCAACTAACTTAGCTGCCAGAGCAGCCTCTGCGGCGGGATCGCGACCAGCGCGAGAAGCTTGTGCTTGGCGTTCCTCACGTGCCCTCTTCACCTTGATGTGATGAGGGAGGTAGAGAGACTTCTCGGAATTGAGTATCTTCTTGAACTCTTCAGTGCGAGCGCACCCAGTGGCGTTAGGGACGTAGTAGCCTTGGATGGTAGTGTCGGTAGTAACAAGCCCTCTGTAGCCGTTGCGGTTGAGTGCCTTGATGTCTTCTTGCTTCCAAGCCCAAGGCTTTGCCCAACCTTTTCGAAAATTGGCAGTATCCTTGAGAAGGGCAGTGGCCGCGGGAGTATCCTCGTCATCCTTGATGAGATTTTGAAGGCCGTTCAGATCAATGACATTACTGAAGTCGTCATCCACGGTAGGTCGTGGAATCTCAGCAGACATGCCCCACTCAACCGTTGTCTCAACAGGTGCAGTCTCTGTGACAAACTCTTCATCGTCATCTTCCTCCCGAGCCTCGCTGGGTGGGCAGACTTGGTCGTCAGCTTCCACACCCTCAAGCTCACGCTTGAGTGCCTCGCGCTCTTCGAAGATCTGCTTCTTGGACTTCTTTTTCTTCTTGCTGGCGGCGGCTTTCTTCTTACTCTCGGCAATCTCAGCCAGCGCTTCGGATTCTTGAAGAATGCTGTCGATGTTGCGCATGCCAGACTCGCCGTCGGCGGTGCTGGCAGAGAGGGGAAACTCCTGGTCGATCTTGTCTTTGGCAACACCAAACAGCTCCTCATCCGTCTTCTTTTGGCGCTTCAAAGCAGCCTCGATTTGGAGATCGAGCTTTCGCTTCTTGGACGTCGGAGCCACATCAGTGACCACAACGCTGACCTCGCTCATGGAGTCGTCATCTCTAGTATCGACCGACTCGACATCGCCCCTACCAGCACTTCCTTTCAACGCATCTTCCAAAGAATCCACCTCCTCAGAAGTCACTCTGCTTCGGGATCTCGAATCAGGTTCCTCTGTATCAACAACACGTGACCGATTTTCAGCATCGTCGTCCGAATCTTCGTCATCACTGTAAATGAAGCGATGCATGAGAGGTCTGTATGCGGTCTTCTTGGCTGCCGGACGGGCTCTGGCTCCGAAAGGATCCTTGAAACCAACATTAAGCTTCGCTCCAGCCTTTGCCTTCCGAATGCGAGGAAGTGCAGAGATACTCATCTTTCCAGGAGCAGTGGTTCGGCGGTCCTTGCCCTCATTCTGGAAATTTGGCGTTCCGGCAGAAGAGGTCTCTTCTCCCTCGTCGTCTTCGTGGATGAGTTCGAGTCTCATATCCTTTGGGTCTGGGATGTTCAACTTCCGTCTCTTTGCAAGATGCTTGAGTGGGTCCAGGTACTCGTGCAAGATAGGGGCTGCTGTCTTGGTCCGGATGTTCTTCAAGAGCTGAGTCTTCAGGTCCCTGCGGATAACCTCGATTGCTTCCCTCGACGGATCAAAGTTCATGGCCCGCTCCTTTCTCTCCTCCTCCACGTCCAGTTCCTCTTCCCTCTTCCGCGCAAGGGCAGCCCTCCTTTCCCAGGCGTCATTGTCTTGCTTTGCAGGGCTGCGACTGCGCTTCCGAACGGGCTCGGTGTATCGCGCAGCCGAACGGTTTCCAGAAGTACCGAATGGAAATGGTTGCATGACCATCGGGTAGTTGAACATGAGAGTGTGGTTGAGAGTCCTGAAGCACTTTTCGCAATCATTCCTCCCCCAAGAATTATTCGCAAAGACGATATAGTACCCAGTGACGTCCATCTTGATATCTTCGGGTTGGAAGTGTCTCATGCGCTTCAGCATGTGGGGGGGAGTTGTTGGCATCACCGGAACTGACTCTGCAGCCACGAAAAGGTACGGTTGGTGCATAAGTGTGTCGGCGACCGGCTCGGTACTCTGCATCACTCGTGCAGGCCTCGGCTTTCCAACAGGGGCAATGGCGTGTGCCGCGGCCATCATCTGGGGTCGGTACACCGGTCTCGAGGATGCAGGACCTTTAGGGGCTGTAGGAGGTGGGCCAGAGTATTTGGCGGCCTCGACAGTCTTTGGTGCCGGTGCTGGATTCGCCTTGATCTGCGGAATAGGCTCGAGCTTGTTGGCCTTCAGCAGATTCTCCATCATGCGTCTACTCTTGTTACCTTCGGGATCGAACTCGACGCGGACAAGATTGGAACCAATGCGCAAGGTAGGCCCAGTGAGGACCGCAGTCTTGGCAGCCTCAATGGCAGGAACGAACCGACCAGCGATCAAGCCTCTCGAGTCGCGATAGCGAAAGGTTGCGAATCCCAAGCAGCTGCCATTCTCTGGGTGGAGTTTGTTGCTACTCTCCGCAATCTCTCCAAAAGTCGAGAATATCGCAGCGACATTCGAGAAGTTGTGCAGGGGATCAAAGCCGGTCACAACGACCTGGGTAGGCGGTCCAGGGCCGAGGGAGGTCTTGGGGTCGAACCGGTAGGGCTTGACCAAGTATGGCGCGTGCCGTAAACGGGATTGGGGGTTGTGGAAATCAACATTGATATAGTCCAGCTTGCCACCTCTCTTCGCCAACCGCGGATCTGCTGGGGGGGCGTCATCATCATCCTGCAAAGCCTTTAATTAGCCAAACATTCACACAAGTAAGATGACGCCCCCCGCAGCAGATTGTATTATACGTACCAAGCCTATATCCTTGTATATGGGTTTCGCGTGCTTCCTCTCCTTCGACGATGTTTTTCGATCAAGGTTGGGGTCGTAGGTACAGACATTGCCTTTGACGGCCTTGCTGGGGTTTCGCGCGTACGTGCGAGGGTCTGCGGGAGGTTGTTCCTCTGCCTTGGCAGCGATATGTTGGTGTAGGACGCCATCTTGGCCTATGTGGTTCTCGCTGGGGGCACCAGTCGAACTCGAGCCAGCCGCGGCTGACTTGTATTTGTAGGGGCTCGCGACACGATTTGGAGAAGAATCGATGTTCGTCATGGGCGTCGTGCTGAAGTTGTGGTTGGTGGCATTGGCTGCGGTGTTGTGCTGGGCTGCGGAGCTGAAGACAGAGGACACAGTGCTCGAGTGCGAGCTTGCAGACCCCACACCATTGAGGATATCGCCTTCTTCCGCGGATGTATGTGCTATATCTGTCGTGGTGGAACGGATGTTTTCGTCGCCGGGGCGAGAAGGGGGGGCATCGCTCATGCTGAAATTGGGCAGGACCAGCTTCGTGTCAGCGGCAGGCCGTGTACTGGGAAGCTCTTGAGCCAGCGAGGATTTGCCCTTCTCCCGCTCCAGGGCCTTGTTCTTCGCCGCCCGTGGAGCAGAGGGGAAGAACTGCGCGAAGCTCGCACTTGGCGCGCGAGACATCGTGACGACGGAGAGATCGATCTACCTGGCCCCCCGTCTGCCAACCAACATCTCTCGTGTGCGTATCAGCAGACGAATGCATGCATGTGTGGAGGGATGGTGAGGAAAGAATAGGCGCAAAGGATAGATAGGTATCTCTTGTCGAGGAACAGATCTGTTGCGCTCGGGCGATGTTTCCCAGGAGCTGATGGCCGGTGTGGATGAGAGGGTGGGTTTCTGTAGCGGTTGCCTCGAGGTGGTAGTAAAGGCGGCAGAGAGCTTGTTGTTGTTGTTGTTGTTATGGTTGTGTCGTCGCGGGGTGGCTGGATTGGAGTTGAAGTTTGATTTCTGCCCGTGGAATGAAGGGGTGAGGTTCGAATTGAAGATCGACCACGCCGAAAGGGGTTTAGCCGGGTTAGACCTGGTCATGAAAGGTGGTGGACGCGGACTGACAAGAAGTGGTGGAGAAAATATGAAAGGAGATATTCAAGTCAAGTCTTCACAGAAAATAATATGAAAAATAGAAAAATATTGCTGATTAATTCTCCATTCCCTTCTATCCTATTGTCCTCCCTTCCTATTGTGGCCTTAGTATTATTGCCATACCCGGCGGCATTGCCTACCGAAAATCAGGGACGAACAGCTCTGCTGGTACGTCACTCATCACTATCGTGAAGCGGAGCTACTATGTATTTTTCTCATATCAATAGCTTCATTAACTCTATTCTCTTCTTCTAAGCTATTGATCATGTTCTCGATAAGCCAATCCAATACATTCCAGTCCATTCCAGCTGTGCACCCTCGCAGAAGCGCCCCAGGTATGTATCGAGATTGGCTGCGTGGCTATAAACGCTATTGGTTTTCTACTGTCTTCAATACACATATACACACACATACATATATGAATGTATATTGTGGCATTTCCTACCATACCCAAATTCGTTGGCGGCTGCCTCTCTCTAGCCCCAAACAAAACAAACAAAAACAAAACCACAACATATCGCAATTAGTCAGTGAAAGAGAGCAATATCCAAGTGTACTTTCGTCGGACTCATCTTATTCCGTGTAAGCACTACAAGCTCTATATACAAATCCCTGAATCCCAACTCCATCCCATGCAGCCATCATTGATCTCGTCACTCTCTAGCCCCCCTCTACAGCCTCGCCTCCTTAGCAGCCGCCTCCTTCACCTTCTTCTCTCCGGCCGCATTACCCATCAACATGGTGCTATCCGGCTTATGCCTCCTATCCAGCAACCTCACGGTATACTCGCACTCGAGCGTCGCATCGCCGTACACCCCCTTCTCCACCTCCTTAAAGTCCAATAACAAGTCCTCCTTAACCGCACACACCGTATCTGTCGCGAGCCACGGGTCGTCTCTGGGGTATAGTTGTGCCGTGACGCCCAAGTAGTCATCGTGCGTCACCATCATGTGGATATGCGCGGGCCGGTTCGGGTGCCGTCCCATCAGCGCCAGCAGGTCCCCGCTCGGGCCGGACGTGTCAATGGCGTACTCCGTCGGCTTCAGGCAGTAGAACCAGAACTTACCCTCGGCGTTCGTGCGGAACTTGCCGCGCAGGTTGTTCTTGGTCTGGTGCTCCGGGTCGAAGACGTCGTACTTCCCGTTCGTCGACGCCTGCCACATGTCAAACACGGCGCCCTCGATGCCCTTACCCGTCTCGGCGTCGAGGATCGCCCCGTGGAAGTACGTGAGCTGGCCCTTGGGCGGGAAGTTCTGCACCACGGAGGCGCCGAGGTCGCGGAAGGGGGAGTCTGGGGACCAGAAGGGCCCGAGGATTGCGGAGGAGGTGGGCTCGATGCCCGCGTCGGTTGCGACTTTGTGGTTGATCTCGTCGACGAGCCTGTGCGGCGATCCGGTAGTTAGAAATGTGTTCTTCAAGCGTGAAAGAGAGGAAGAAGGGAAAGGGATTGACAGAGGACATACGACTCCACGCCCAACACGTCGCAGATTCTCCACGCCTCGTTCCTGTTGCTGCGGTAGGCCTGGCCGATGCTGTTCACGAAGTCGACGCCCAAAACCCACTCGTCCTGCGTGAGTTCGACCTCGCGGATGAAGTCGTGCAAGTGCGAGATCAGGCTGGTGAGGATCACTTTGGCACGGGGAGGGGTCGAGTCGGCCATCAGCCCGATGACATGGGCAGTGAAATCGGGATCAAACTTGGAGGTGCCGGAGGCATTGGGGGTTGAGGAGGCCATGTTGCGCGGAGGAAGGGATAGATGGATGTATGTATAGATGGATGGATGTATAGATGTATGTATGTATAGTTAGATGTATGTATAGAAGTATGTATGTGTGTATAGATGTATGTATACAGATAGATATACAAAAGAACAATCCACAGCGGCACACACACCCAAAAACCCAGGGAATACCCACCTCCTTATATCCCATCTCATTTCGCCCTCCCCCCCCCAGCCCCCCTCTTCCCCCCCAGATCCCATCCCGCTTCCCGTCCCCCCCGTCGGGAAGCACCCACGGTACTGATCGCGAGAGTCCTGTGCCGGGTGTCGATGCTGAATGCCGGTGCGGGGAACCAAAATCAAGCAAGAGAGCGGTACCTGACTCCTGGGTCCCCTCATAGTGCGGGTGAGTCTTTAGCCGGGAGGGGGGGCATGCGCTTGCATTTGGGAATCATGTGATTGGCTGGATGAGACGACGCACAGGACAAAGATCATCCTCTCCTGGGATACGGGTACCGGTGTTTATCTCCGCCACCAGCTTTCGTACAGAGGCTATACCGGTATTAAATAAGTGAAAAACTACTTCTTCCTTAGGGTCTATTTCTCTCTCTCTCTCCCACACACACACTCTCTCTCTCGCTACCTGCCCGAATCACAAATCCAAGAATCAACCATCACCCCAACTTCCGTCCTGAACGTCGATCGACAACTCCATCTCTCAAGTTAACCCAGCGGAAGTGTCGATTGTGAGAAAGAACCGGCTTCCGCTTCTCCGCTATTAAGTTAGTTATCTCTACACACTGGATATACTATAATTTCAGTTCCCCAAAGCCTGGCTGGCCTCTTGCAGAAACTCGCGTTCGGTTGGTCCAGACGTTTCTCCAGAATTTTCGATTCAATTCCGAATCAATAGAACCATTTCGTATCTTCGTAGGCTACTTACTGCCCGCGGACACGCAGATAGATATACAAAAGAATACATGTGCGCAATAAGATGCATAACTACAATTCCCAAAGGGAAGAAGGCAAAGAGCACTGCCATGGTGACGACCCTAGATAAACCCTTGGTCAACTCCAAGGACCGTTCATCGTCATCACATCCTGTAGACAAGGACGCAGCCATTTTCACCACCCTCCCCGCCGGCCCCCAGATAGAGAGGTATCCAGACTCCGAGAACGCCATACCACCAATCCCAATCACGCCCCCTCATCCCACCCGCCTACGACCCCCCACCAAGCGTCATGACAAACTCCTCATCCTCCTCATCCTCTCTCCTCAAACACTCCGGCAAGGCTCCTCGTAACCCCGGCTCCAGATCATCATCATCATCATCATCAACCTGCTCGAACGCCTTCAGGAAACTCGGCTTCTTCCAGTCGCTCTCGGGCTCTCGTTCCTTCGCGAAGCGCGCAGGCGTGATGGTATGATCCGAGGCCATCGACACGTTGCTCGGACTCCTTTGCATGACCCTCTCGAGCTTCGGAGCGGGTGTGGGAGGGTGTTGCGTGTGCAGGATTCCAGAGGCAGAGCGCCCTTTGGTGTATCCGATTGTAGAGCGGGAGGCGGCTTCGGCGATGGCGTGGCGCATGGTCGAGGCGTTGCTGGAAACAGCAGGGGCTGGTGTGCGTTTTGGGCGGGAGAGGAATGATACTGTAGGGATGGGCTTGGACGACTTGGGCGCGAGCGGTGCGGCTTTGGAAGGGACGGAGAGGGCAGAGGCGGCTTTTCGCGATTTGATGGTTCCAGGACCTTGGCTTTGGACCTGGGCTTTCTTGACTTCGCCGAGGGGTTGACGGGCCGCCGTGGCTTGATCCTGCGCGAGAGGGGACTTCTTGTTGCGGACGTGGCGGAAGGTCTCTGGGACGTCGCCGACTGTCCAGTCTTCTTCCATCATTTTGAGAACGGCTTCGTCGCATGCCTTGGCTGATTTTTGATATCTCTCTTCTGCTTCCCGTTCGATTCTCGACTTGCCGTTCTCATCTACCGTCTGCCGGTAGCTTCTGTTGATACCCTTCATAAGATTACCGGGCTGGAGGACTGAGTAGTCGAGGCAGTTGTCGGGAAAGTCGGTTGACTGGTAAGGTAGGTCTTTGGGTTTGGGTGGACAGTATTCAACGTCTCTGTCTGCCAACGGACTCTCATCCCCATGTACCTGCAACTTGACAGCCTCGGCGTGGATCAGCTTCTTGGGTCGACGGGCACTGGTCTGCTGCTTGGGTTGTGTTTTTTCGACTTCCTTCTCTGGGGCGGCTCCAGCGGGCGTGTGGAACGCTTTGGCTTTGGCATTGGTGGTCTTCATACCGAGGGGGGCGCGAGTCCGCGGACCTGCGTATGTGAGTATTTGCGTATTTGTGACATGAAGCTGAAGTCGCGTACCCATCGGTGTGACAAACGCATTCTTGTCGAATGTCGCGCTCTTCTTGACTGTCATCAAACCCCCATCCGGCCCCTTGCTCTTGCCGGACTTTCCTGCGAATCCTACCGGCGCATTCTCATCGTTGAGAGGGATCTTGAGTGGAGTCTTGGGGTATGTGTTTCCTGGCGTCTTGGGCTGCAGTCCTCTGCTACTCTGGTTGAGGGGCTTCGATGCTGCTGCTTGGTGGTGACCGTAGACCAGATTCTCCTGATCGCGTGCGGCCAGCATGGTGATGGTTTCTGTTGGTTGCTATGATGTGAGTAATCCACGCTTGTCGTATTGATGAAATACTGTTTGGTTGTGTTGTGGATTTGTTGTGGTTTTCATGGAAATGGTGCTGTTGTCATGGCCATGTGAATCGCGTCAGAAATCCGGATCCATCCACTTCACCCATGAGCTTGTTTGGGCCCGTTCACCGGGCAACCCCGTGGAAGCGCAATTGCCCCACCTCACCCTCGTTCCCCTTCTTCTCCTATTCCGCAACTCAACACCAAAACCCAAATCCCAAACCAAAACCAAGACCAACACTCCCATTCCAAAATTCCAACGGCCACCTCTCCCTGCATTCGAGACCAGATCCTCTTTGTCGACTTCAATACTCGCACATCTTATCCATTCCCGTAAAGTACTCACCGTCGCCACCATGGATCGCATCAAGGAAGTAAGTCGCTCTCTCTCAGCACAACCCCGCCATACCGAACATCATCCCATGCTATGCGACTCTCTGCCTCCCACCACACCGCAACGCACACTATGTGTTGTGGCGGTCACTTCATCTCTTCTTTCAACTACAGATCAATAATGCATACCTTCAGAAAATGAACTCTCTCCGCATCGAGGCCGACGAAGCCGCTTCTAAGGTCGAGGAGCTGCAGAAGCAGATCAAGGTGCTCGAGCAGGAGAACCTGACCAAAGAGCACGAAATCACCTCTCTCACCCACAAGAATACACAGTTGGAGGCCGAGGTTGAGAAACTGGAGAGTTCTCTCAAGGAGCACAAGAGCGACAAGGACGAGGGCTCGGCCGCTTTGACACAGAACGAGACGTTGCAGCGCCGACTGCAGCTCTTGGAAGAGGAGGCCGAAGAGGCTGACAAAAACCTACGGGAGACGAATGATAAGTGAGTCGTTTGATATTTTCCACATCTGGATATGGTCGTTATCTCCAGCCAGATATCGCTGTTACCGCACGTCGCTGCTCTGCGGTACAATGATACACATCATTGGCAAGTAAGCTGACATACCTCAGGCTCCGTCAAACAGATGTCAAAGCCGGCCACTTCGAGCGCAAAGTCCAAGCCTTGGAGCAAGACCGCGATCAATGGGAGGCCAAGTTCGAGGAGATGGCCAAGAAGTATGCCACCGTCCAGAAGGAGCTCGAGGACTTCCAACAGGAGATTGGCAACATCTAAGCTTTCTCTTCATGCGAATGCGATTTGGGGATGTACCTGCACGTTGGACGCTGGTTTGACCACACCGTTGCTTTCAAGAGAGAGATCTCGTTCAGCACGTATGGGCTTGATATGGGTTGCTAGACCGGAAGGAGCGACATGATAGGCGGGGATGAACGAAGTGTCAATTGCAGTCAGGCCTCGTATGCGTTGGCGGTGGCACGCTGTTTCTGTTTCTAGCGCAGACGGGGGGTCATTGGTGTCGACTTTTGCTGTTTAGTTGATATCACGAAGGTTAGTCGCATATGCATTTGCATTGAAACACGCTTTGGCTTTTTATTTCCGAACCTGTGCATTTTCACGGATCGGTCCTCTCTATCCAGGCACAAGCAAAAGGAAATGAGACTTAGGCGATCAGTGGTGGTGAGTGAGTGGTGGGTCCTCTGCTTCGTACATCGGAAAATACTCCAAGCATAGCAAGCACGCTGTATGTATACTCCGTATCGTTCGGATATCTGATGGTTAGTTTCAAGTAGTTATGTCAATCAACACCTGGATCGTTGCCGTATTTTATGCGAGCAATGGACAGCAGAATATGCATTTATTTCATTTCATCCCATCCAATTCCCATCTTTCTACATATCTACCTACCCAGGTAGCCTAGACTACCCACCCCCCTTCCTCGCCTCCGCACTAGCCCTCTTCTTACCCTTCTGCTTCATCCGCGCCGCCTTGCGCTCAACCTTACTCTCGTACCTAAATTTCGGCTTGCGTTCCTTCTTGGGCCATTTCTTCTTGCCTCCTCCCCCTGCCTCTGCCTCTTCCTTTTCCTTTTCCTTTGCCGCCGCTTTTTTTGAATTCCACGCTTTCGTCCTGTTCTCGCTTTCGCTTCCGTCTTCTCCACTTTCGTCTCCGTTGGCTATGCGGTGTAAGCCCTCTTTCGAGACGTCGACTGCTTCGATGGTGACAGTTGTGTGTTTGTCTTCGTCTGAAGAGAGGTATTCTTCTTCGTGGTCGAGTACTGGGGCGGCGGGGAGAGGGTTAGAGTTTAATTTTGATATTGATTTCGGTTTTGATTTCGATGTCGCTTTTTCGTCGTCGTCTGAGAAGCCGTGCCAGGCATCGCTGTCCGAGTCGGAGGATGCGACATCGGGGTCGCCGACGGCGCGGAGGGCAGCGTTGATGGCCGAGACGTGTTCTTCTAGTTCTTGCTTTCTTTCTTCGCGGAGCTAAGGGGTTGGAATCAGCATTTGCATCGGCACTTCTCTACCAATACCAACCCTGCCATCATCACACCTGTCTCCGGGCTTCTCCTCCAACTTCCCATCTCCGCCCAACCCACTTTAAGCCCACCCAATCCATTTTCAAACACAGATAATCCCAGTCCCCCCCAAAACAATCAAGAGAAAAAATATTCAAGGTCAAAAAGGAAGAAAAGAATGAAGAAAATCCCAAACTAACCTGCCTCCTCATTAACACCCTCTCTTCCCTCCCCTTCTTTGCCTCCTCCTCCCTTGCTCGCTTCGCACGCTGCACTTTTCGCTTATGGAAGCCCGTCAGGTAGTCCGCTCGACTCGTATCGTCAAAATTGATCTCCTCGACCTTGTGGTGCTCCGTCTTGCGGCGCTTGTTGGGGGGATGGGACTGTGCATGTTAGCTAGGCAGGACCTGACGGTTGAGGTAGAAGGGTTAGAATAGTTGAGAAGGTTTCTCGGAGGAGAGAACGAATTCTGGGAAGCTGGAATCACGGCACATTGTACGTACTGAGAGGAGGGGCTTCCTGGGGCGCGGGTGCAGGAATATGCCTGGTTGGAGGTGTGTCGGGTCCATGGCTTGCTTCTTCGTTTGCCCTCCTATCGATCAATTCTGGATCCTCGATCCGTGTTTGATCGCGAGCTTTTCGTTTTGTGGTCTTACGTGGACGTGGGTTTTCGCAGTCGAAGGTGCTTCAATTCGAATGCGATAAGTATGAACTTTTTAGCGGGGCCGCGGGATTCCGCCCCGGTGCCAAGAGGAAGGCTGCTATTGAAAGCTGCCGCTGCATCATCAACCTCATCAGGAGCTCGAACCATCCACGGAAGATAGAAAACCAAACACCCACCAAACTATGCGTCTCTCTCTCGCTGCCCTCGCCGCGACGGCCGCATGCGCGAATGCCTTCCGGGACACGAGCCCGTTTGTGATGTTCTCGAACGCTGCGTACGTCTGTCCCTCTCCCTTTCTCCCTCACACCCACTGCGTCCTTAGCCACCTCACATCGATATCGTAGATGATTTGTGAGAGCTAGCTAACAAGACAATCCACAGAGTTCCTAGCAAACCCCTGATTTACGCCCAACTCCAATCCTCGCACTCCGTGCTCGAGACCGCGAAAGCGGTGCTGGGCGAATGCCAATCTGACGTCTACCTGGTGCTGGCGCAGCCGTCGATCCTGTCCTCGGAAGTCCGCGAGAATGCGCCGCATCTCAATCATGCCGTGAGGAGCGCTGGGCTGGAGAAGAGTTTCAGTGTGTCGGAGGTTGTGGGAGCAACGGTGGCTGATGGTGGGGAGATGGTGGATTTGCTGGTTAGTAGGTGTGGTGCTGAGAGGATCCCTCTTGGGGAGTGGAAGGGGTTAGAGAAGGGAGAGGGGAAGAAAGTGGTCTTGAACGGCGTGTTGCCTGCTATTGCGGGAGCGGAGCGGAGGAGGGCGGTGGGCGATAACGGTATGTCTTCCCCAGAATCTGCCACCTACATGATCCAGCTGGTCCCTCAAAGATTGTGGCTAATAAATTTGAATGATGTAGACGCAAAGCTCTTCTCTCTGTTGAGGAAGCTAGAGGGTACGCAGTACACAGTTATCTACCACACGACGCCCGCGGACGTCGTTGCAGAGCAGGGCACAGAACAGATCGTGTACGAAGCGAGCTTTGAGGACGTCGTGCATATGGATTTGAAGCGGGATTTAAGTGCTCGGGAGAAGAATGCGACCGTGGGGGATGTGCGACCGTTGTTTGAGAAGTATCAGTTCTTCTCGCCTGGTATGTTTCCCCTATTTTTTCATACCCCACTTACTACTACCACTCATCATTTCCTGTTAACTGCACACTTGGTTTACTGGCTGGGGAGGATATGGCAATGGATCCCGAATTTGAACGTCGACACATATTAGACTGAATAATCGCTAATCTCGTTCACCAAATATCAGGTCTCTTCATGGGCCTTCTCGTCAGCCTCCTCCTTCTGTCCATCCTGTGGGTGGGTATCAGCGCTATCTCCAGCTTGGAGGTTTCGTACGGGGCGTTCGACAAGGAGATGGGTCCTGCAGCGCAGAAGAAACAGCAATAGTTTATCTTATCTTTTTCCCTTCCTTTGTTCCTTTATCAATTTGGCGAGCTAGGAAGAGCTGGGGGAAGGAAAAAACGCAGCAAAGAATTTATTCGTGTTGCTAAAGGCTATCAGTAGCCTATTGGTCATCGTGATGGAGCTAAAGAGCTTTACTCCCTGAAGAGCGGAGAGAAGAAGAGACTTCGCTAAGAAAGGGAAAGGAAGAACGCGGTGTGTACGAGAACAGTTGTAAATATGTATGTGTAGAGAGACTAGTACCTATGTTTTAGGGAATGCCAGGGGGAAAAAAAGGTATAAAAAGTGCCAGAAGAAAAAAAATATGCAAGACCTCAGCTGAAAGCTCATCATAACGCGTGATGTTACCAGATTCAAGATTATAAACTTAACTTAAGGTTATTGCGAATGATAATGTGATGTGCAATACGGTATCTACCTATTACACATCTGGGGTTCGTGCGTCCGTTTTTCTTCTCGGTTTCTACCTGAAGAGCATAACCTGCTTGCGAATGCATGGCTAGACAAGGTTTGGATAAATCTTTGTTCGGTTCTGTTTCTAATCTCGCCCTTTAGATCGAAATGAAAAACGATGCTAGGCGAGAGCACCTAAAACGCCGTTCAGCTGCATGCCCTTGATCCTAATACGCCAGCCAGCCAGATACACATTTCTTTTCATCCTTTCCATCCCATTCCGAACGCCAGATGATTCATGCTCGCATAACCCCCCGTTCCAGAGCCTGGCTGGCGTTACTTCTCAGGCGCATCCGGCAACCGCTCTATCACGTACTTGCCCCTCGCGACGCTGATGATCGGGACACCGGGCACCTTCCGTATCCTCCTCTTCAACTCGCGATCATCTTCATCAGAGTCACATCGTCAGTATGGGTGTGATTGCCATCCGCTCCACCAGACAAGAAAGAAAAAAAAAATCCCAGTCTGATAGACTGCGGAGGGGCGAGGAGGGGGCAAGCGGAACGTACTGGTAGCCACAATGTAGATCTTGCTCTTCATGACCCGGTCCACCACGCAGTCGTCGGCGTAGATGCCCTTGTGATCGCACTGCAGGCGCTCCCATCGCTCATCACGGGCGATGCGCAGGGCGATGCGGTATTTGGGACCGAGTTTCTCGAGCTCCGCTATGCGAGGCACAGAGTCAGCAAATTATCCGCTCACATCTCCCACTCCCATTCACATTGCCTCCCATCCTCCCATCCTCCTATCCTCCCATCCTCCTATCCTCCCATCCTCCTTCCCTCTGCCCCTCCCTCGTAACCAAGCAAGCCAGAAAAACCCCTGGGAAAAGACGACGTACCCATCACACAACTCGTAATCACCGGGATGCAGTTCGCGTACAGCGTGTCCATCAGCGTCTCCAGCAGCGGCAGCTTCCTCTGCACCGTATGCGACAGGAAGTTCGTGTCGAGCAGGATGCTGTATGGCGGGACCAAGGCCGTGTTGTACTGGAAGAACAGCGCGGATGAGACCTGCGGCACCTCGCGGACTACCTGCTGGGAGGCGGCCTTCTTCGCCTCGGCGGCGGCATCTTCGGCTTTGGAAGCGTTCTTCTTGAGGCGGGCGTCGTTTTGGCCGATGAGGCGTTTGACCTGGTAGGGGAGGGGGATTGCGTCAGTTCTTCTTGTTCTCTTGTGTCTTTCTTTTTTCTTTTGTCATCGGGGGATACGCACAGCGCCAAACTTGCGGACTCGTTTCGCTTGACCCATAGTGCTCTCTGTGATGGGGGAACCGGAGAGGCCTCAATGCTGTACTCAAGGATGGAAATTTATTTGCCGAGAATCGCCAAAAGACTACCTTCGTTGTGATTCTGCCGCTCCAGACCGCCTTGATAACAAACATGCTCGGCAACGGGAAACCCAAGTGCCCAGAGCAACAATCCTTTGTGATACGCCACCATCCCTTTCTCCCTGCCAAACCTCCAGTCTTTCAGACCGGACGATACACAGGACTCAAACTCTGCAGAATCTTCCACACTCGTTCGACGACACAGCAGAAATTAATCGCCGATTTGCGCTCTGCGCCGTTTCGCACTCCTACGGTCCGGGTTGCTGGGAAGGAAAGGCATTGTTTGGATCGAGACCGACTTGGATTGGGATTTGTATTGCGGGCATTCAGGAGGTCGACGGCATCCCTTTACGAGCACTGCTGCAATTCTGCTTACACGACCACTCGATCCGATTACACGATACCGTCCGGACAGTAGGAGGGTGGTCGCCCGCCTGCTTAGTTCTGGGACATTTTGCTAGGTTCGGCTTGCGGGCTGTATCAACAAACACACACGAAGGATCGTCTTTCGGCAATCTTTTCTCCTTCGCCCGCTCTTTTCCATTCTGCCTGGACACCGAATTACATTCCCCTCTGCATAACGATCAACTGTCACAATGAGTACAGCACTCCCCGACCTGGCGATCGCGACCGACGCAGCCCCTAATAGCACTCCCGTCGCTCAAGACGCAACGATTACCGGCTCGGGGACCACAGGTCAGGCAACCGGGGCCGTCAGCATCACCGGAGCAGGCACGTCGACGACAGGAGGAGCCCTTACAGGTCTCCCCAAACTCTCCGGCGTAGCTCAGCCCGTCACGCCCACCGTCCCCCCAACCGCGAATGCACCTTATATGCAACCAAGCTCCCTCCCAGAAGGCACAGTCTTCATCGTGGTCGGCGCCATTCTGGGCTTCATGGCCATAAGCGTACTCCTGTGGCGAGCCCTGGTCGCTTGGTCTCTCCATCGCTCCGTCAAGTGCGCCTCCCAGCACCAAACCATGACCGACACCAAAGCTATGTTCCGGGCGCCTGGACCCCCAGCGGCCCCGTTCTACAAGAATTATTCCGACCGGGACTCTACCATCTCCCTCTCTGGTGTCGGAGGAAAGAGTGGGAAGAAGGCTCGCCCGACACCAACGCAAGGAAATGCCGACCGAGCCTCCCTCTTCTTCTCCCCCACCGCAGGCGCCGCAGGAGCCGGCCTCGGCACAGGGGCCGGAAACCGGGCCAGCTCCTACCTGCCCGCTGGGTACTACGCTTCTGGCACCGCATCTGCGGCCAACGGAAGCTCGCAAGTAACGCTCGGTGGTCATCAGCCTGCCATCTCTCTCTCTCATCTCCGGACTGACTGTCAAGGCTACAACCGTGCGCGGAGCATGGGCCCGAGTCCGCCAGACAGTCCGCATTCCGCGGGGGCGAGCGAGAGGCAGTATCTACAGAGCACGAGCTCGCTGAACCTGGACCAGGGCTACGGGGGCGGTGATCGGCGGCCGAGTGCGTATTTGGATGATCTATTTGATAGGGAAGGGGGTGGTGTGCTGGGCGGGGTGGAGCACGGGAGGGCGCATTCGGGTAGTCCCCGGCGGTACTAAAGTCAGAGTCTCATTGCCGGAGTGGCTGAGGGTCGGGAGGGGACAGAAGTTTGTCATTGTGCACCGTGTTTTTTTTTCTGGCTTCACAGCGAGGGGGCGTTTGGGATGCGGGTCTTATTGACACCGGGAGAGAGGTGTTTGCTTGATCAGTACATTTGCCGGGTTCTTGATTGCATCGGTGCCAGGAGTGGAATGAACGAGCGCCAGGATAGCGGAATCGAAGCGAAGTCGCAGGTTGACACTGGCGAAGGGAAGGGACAGGGGGGGTGGTACACATCTCAGTAATATCTGTAGACGATTCCGCACTGCGGAAATCCTTGCTGCTCAATCAGTCTTTTCGGCCGTTCATCCGCCTTGATGAACTTTTTAATGATAATAAAATCAAAACACAAACGTCCAATAAAAGAATCCTCTTGATTGTGCATATACGTGAAGCCAAGTCAGGCCTTTTTGAGATGTGTGACATACCGTATGTGTGACATAGGCGGGGGAAGGGGGGGAGGGGGAGGCGCAGGGGGTAGTCTCATTTTTACTACCTACTTCTACTACTACTACTACTATATCTATCCTTGGCTAAACGGGAGTAAAGTAAACAAAGTAAGGTTTCCCTCCCCTTTTTTTTTCTTGGCGAAAGGAGGTCGCAATTGGGAAGGTACGCGGAGATGGAGAGGAGGGGGGGGGGGTGATGGTGTGTTGTGGTAGAGCAAGCGAGAGAGCGCTGTTGATGGTAGAGAGTAGAGGTTGTACCGGTAGGAGTCTGGGTTTTTGGATGGGGGTAGGAGGTGAGGTAGGTAGCTGAAAGGGGGGGGTCTCTTCTACTTGTATGGGGCTGGGAATGGGAGGGAGTACGGTAGGTGAGTACCGCTTGGTGAGTAGGTGGGTGAGTAAACAAACGGGGCTAATATTTTCCCGTGCCTCGGCGTTAGGGAGAGTCTGTTTATTACGTAGTTAGTTCTTTGCTGACCAACAGACGATCTAAGCTTCAAGGTAACCGGTAGGTAGGTGATGAGGCTACGCTGTATTCCGTAGGTACCGGTAGGTAGGTACCGGTAGCTCAATCAGATTCCGTGCAAGCGAGCAAAAAAAAAAAAAAAAAAAAAAGTAAAAATAGAGCCCTGCCGACCTCCCTAGCTTCAAATATTTATAAAGATCACGACTCTGATTGTTCGCCGATGGTTGTTGACGGTTAGTTGACGGTTAGAGCGCTGGAAAGCCTTTCGAAGTTGTGCGCGGAATTGGCTTCTTTCGGATTGCGTTGGGCGAATACGTATACGGAGGGTACCTCGTAAGTAGGTAGGAGTACTAGTATAAATCATTGCAAGGGTGATGCGGGATTGAAAGGGGAAATTTTCCGTAGTATTAAGCGATATTTGATTTAGAGTCTTGAGGTACCGGTATGCGAGAACGGGCTCCACTACTGTACTGTACTGTATGTTCGTGGCGTAGGAAACTATCGGCCGAGTACTTGTCGAAGCCCATTTTCAATCAACGTGATCGAGTCTAATGATCCTCCGTGATGTCACGGTATAATAGGTAATACCACGGTACAGGCGCAGTGGTTACCCCTTGAGGGTGCCTCAATAGTTTAGTTTCCACTACTGTATAGACCCCCTGGTTAGCCTCCCCTTAGGGAGCAGTACTGACGCCTGGGACGTAATATCTACCTATTTCTGGACCAGTTAGTTTAACGACCTTCCTATTTCGCGAAGGGTTGTAACGGTTGCCCAGGAAACACGAGTGAAATGGGTCCTCCGTGTCTCGGCAGATGAGAGCCAAGCTCTCGCATCATGCTTGATCTCCGGACTAATACGAAAGCTGGAGAAGTGTTGCCTGTACGTATAAAGAGCATGGCGCCGCATGCAATCTTGAGCCGTTCTGCAGCCAAAATATATACCGGTACATATATATCTATATATATATATATATATACTCGCGTGTTCTTGGTCTACAATTTGGCTCGGTTGGCTCGCTTAATTGGCGTCTGTACCCGGGATCGGTTCTAAACAAAACAGACGAGAGCACTGAGACCGGACCTCACCAGTTCGCCATGAAGGTCCCCGCGTCCCTCGTCTGCTCGATGCTCGCGGGCATGGCAGCTGCGCATCTTGACACGAGAAGCGCCGTCTCTAGCAACGTGGAAGTCATCTCCGTGGATCGCATGAAGCGCGGATGTCAGGTCTCCGACGAAGGCAGTATCTACGAGCGAGCGAGCCTCGCTCCCAGACAAGTGCAGGACTCCTCCGCCTTCCCACCCAACATGACCGTGGCGGTCAACTTCCACATCGCCAGCACCGAGCGCGACGCCGGCCTCGTCACGGACGAGATCGTCGACGCCCAGTTCGCCGTCCTCCACTCCGCCTTCGCCCGGTACAACATCACGCTCCAGCTGAACTCCACGTCCCGCGTGGTCGACAACCGCACCGGCTCCGCCTTCCTGATCAACGAGGCCGAGTCCACCGGCGGCTTCAACTACACCTTCTACGCCGACGAGCGCAACGCCTACCTCGCCGCCTCCCGCCGCGGCGGCTACGACGCCCTGAACCTCTACTTCTTCTCCAACTTCGGACCCGGCGCCACCGGGGTCTGCCAGTGGCCCTCCCGGGACCCCCCGAGCCCGGAGACCTTCAGCACCGATGGCTGCCTCCTCAACGCGGAGACCATGCCGGGCTTGCCGCCCGAGCGGGCCTTTCCGGAGTACGACCAGGGACTCGTCGCCGTGCATGAGGCGGGCCATTGGTTCGGCCTCAACCATACCTTCACCGGGGGCTGTACTCAGATCGAGGGCATTCCTGCGATGGGCGATTTCGTGGACGATACGCCGGCGCAGAGTGAGCAGGTATGTCTACCGTTGAGCCGATTGGGTTTATCCCCCTCATGTTTTACTTTTGATTTTGTCCCTTCCCCTT